AGGGCGGGTGAGGAAAGGAGGGAGAGAGGAAGGAGGACAGAAAAGGAGAGGAGTTCACCAGCCCTCTCTGATATCTGTTGAGCGTGTTTGTGCATTGTGTGTGAGTGCGTGTCCTGTCGGTGTGACGTCGTGTTGTGTTTTATTCCCACTCTGTGGTGCCGGGTGGTTTGGAGGTCAGATCATACATGACTCTGGAGATGCCTGGGATCTTCTTGATCTCATTCACCATCTTCAGAACCACCTGGGGAAACAAAAAAGACACACACAAAAAAACACTCCTAAAACACTGAACACCCAGAGAGAAAAGCTGAAAAGGCTCAATCCCTGAACTTAGGCTGGTAGCTAAGACCAAAGTGGAGAGGCTGAATCGTGGTGTACCTCCTCTGGGATATGGTTGCCAGGCATGGCGGGGATGCCGGTCATGAAATCGCTGGTGATGAAGGTGCGGACCACCACAGAGCGCCGGCAGGACGGCTGCTTTTGCAGTGGGTCACGGTCAAAGTGCAGGGGGGTCAGGATGACCGGCATCTGGCTGATCTTACCGGAATAGCCTGAAAGAGAAGCACAGCCGAGGGGAAAGAAAGAGGTTCTTACTGCTGCTAGACAATAATTAAAATGAACGTCACTGTCTAACACTGAATCACAACACAACACAACACAACAATAAGACTCATTCATCATGTCAAGCTCTTCCCTTCTTGGCATTTTATCAATGTCTAAGTCTAATTTCTCTTGTTCACATCTCTCGGTCTATCAGTTCACTTCACTGTAAACAAACAAACAAACACTAGATTCTCCATCTGTTCATTGCAGCTTGCAATTACTTACTGAAGCAAAAAGACTGTTATATGGAGCATTTATATTCTATAAGATGTGGACAAAGTGATCTTCAAATTCACCTCTTTAATCATATCTTAAAATTACCATGATAAAAAAACTTCTTCTCACTGGAAAACATTAAACATTTTTTTCATTTTTAAACAAATATTTGGTTTGCCTGTAGGGAAACGTTAAATTCCCCATGTGGATGAAAGTATGCAGACCAGTACACTATTCTGGTTATGTAAGAGGCCCTATTGATGCCAGGCTTTGTGAAAGGAGTGAATGGCTCTACAGAAACTATATTATTAGACAGTCCTGTGGTTGCATGTTTTTTTTTATACATTTACTCAAGTTGCTCACACAGACTTAGCAAATATAAATCCATCCCCAGTGATCTGTAATGCCTCAACACATCGGGCTAAAATAAAATCATTTGGACATAAACACACTTACCAGACTCTCTAAGGATCGAGTGAGCTACAAAGTCAGCCTGTCTGAGCGTGCTCAGAACACCTGTGGTCAGGAAAGTCGGGGTAATGTCTGACGGCGGCTCTTTCACGTGGGACCCAAACACATACACAACTCTGGAAAAGGGGAGAGAAACGAATGAATGAATGAATGGGTGTGTGGGTGTGTGTGTGTGTGTTCTGCATATCGTGTGTCTAATGTGGCAGATGAAGAATAAAGCTGTGAAGCTGTGAAGCTGTGGAGTTTTGTGTATTACCTATTGATGCTATGGCACATGCGAGGGATGAGTCTGGCCAGGAACATGAGAGATTCCCAGTGCGGAGATTCTTTACTTGTGACACCGCACACATAACTGTAGGACCGGCAATCACCCTGAGACAGACAGAAAAAGATTTTTAAAGCTATAACCAAATTAGGCTTATTACATAAAGTCTTAACAGGGCTGCAAACACAACAAAATGTTAGATTATGTGTACTTTTCTAAACATTTAGTCTTTTATGCTAAAGAAACAGACATTTCTATAAATAAAGTCTGCATAATCTCTGTCTGTTTTCAATTCCAACAAATTCCCCTTGCAATAAAAGCTGCCTGTGTTTGTCTACCGTCTCCCGTCTGCCCCACAATTTGAGGTTCAGGGTAAATTTAAAACTCTGGCTTTAAACAGGAAGTAATAAGACACACCTACACAGACGCACTCAGTCACTGGCTGACTGCAATGTTTTGGTGAGGAAAGCAGTCATGACCATATGTCTCTCCAGGCAACACTGAAGGTCAATATAAACTACTGGAAAGTGATGGTTTTTTATGCTCAAATATTTCTACAGTGCACGCCCGTTGTATGTGTCAGAGAGTCAACATGAGAGGAGCTGAGAAAAACTGAAAGTGCCACAATAGCTACAACAGATTCGAAGAGTCAAACAGTAAAGCACTGAAGTACTGTGTGTGTGTGGGTGTGTCTCAGGGTTAACCACTAAATTACAGTGGTAACGCAGTGAGACAAACAGCGAGGCACCATTTCAAACCTCCCCTGCTTCTAAACACTCCACGTACAATCATACCCAAGAGCCCCAAAACAAACCAATAAGCTATGTTTGGACGAGCCTACAAAATGATCTCTACAGTTTAAGAAGTAACGGCTACTTTGAAACTCTTCTGACTGCAGGTTAAAACATTTGGGCTGCACATCGCTGGAAGATGACATGAAGGCCGTAACCTTGGGCAGACCTTCAAATCCTTATTAGTAATTATTAGTAAAGCCCATCTTACAAGATAAATAATGGATGAGTCATATATGGAAATCAATAAGTTTAACCCAGAACAGAATTATGGGGTTTATGTGGACGGCTACATATATGATTGACTGTATTTGTGTGTCTGTTCACCGTGCAGCTGAATCAATGAACAGAGTAACTGATGAAGTGGATTACCTGGACGCCGACAGTTTTGATGGGCAGCAGGAAGGCATTGAGTGAATGAAGGCTGGTGATCTGCATGAGCTTCTCTTCCTCCTCGTCTGATATACACGACTTGACTCTCTGCAGCAAGACATGGGGCTGGAGACGATAGAGACGGATGTTTAAAGCAGCACGCAACAGAACACCCGTTCCGCAAGTCATGGCGAATGATTGAGTTACCCGTTCTAACATCAGAGAACCAGCAGCAAACACAAAATCGTATCAAACCTAATGTTTAATGTCTGTTCTTCATTTGATGTCAGCCCATATGTAGTGTTTTTTTTTTTTTTTTCAGATGACGGTGATGATGGTAAAAGCCCTTCCCCCAGTGGAAAAACAAGGTACCAAAAAGAAAACATCTTTAAATCATCAGAATTATTTGGCTTTTGGTGCAATGTGGCCAACCAGCCAGCAGAGGTTGCACATTATTAACTCTATAATTAAGCAGTCAGAACAAATGTGTTCTCATTTGGTGTGTGGGCAGAGCTTTTACTGTACTACAAAGAGCTACGGCTGACAACTTGGCATCTTTTCTGTGACTTTTACCCTAAAATGAAACAACAATAAACAACAGGGAAATGCTGATGGCTCAATTCACAGTAATGAATGAGTCTATACACCGTTTGCTCCTACAGCATTTGAATGACCATATATTTTGTTCAACAGCACTTAATGCTTAGAGCCGGTATACTTTTTAGGCTTCTGAAGGATACAGAAGCTCACGTGACACAGGCTACTGCTAAGATGTTGATTCACTGAAAAGACGTAGTGCCAATTCCCTAAGACCTGCGTCTGTCTGTGATTTATTTGGATCTGCGTACAACAGCTAATATTTGACGTCAGGATGTTTAATGTCTCACTCGGAGGGGTGTTTTAAGTAAGCAGTGATTAACTGAGTACTCAAAATGTGCATGCTTCACTGAAAACACCGACGTACAAATTGGTGTATTTATATACTTATATATACAGTTCAAAGATGTTCTGACCTTTTTGACGCTTGCAGAGAAGTCTGTGATGATTTTGAGGATGTTGTTTGTTTCAGCAAAGTCCTTACAGATGTAGGGCTCCTCTGCACAGATCACTCTGATGGACAAACCAGGACCTAAAGGCACAGGAGAGAGCCAGTTTAGCAGTGATGGGAGACAGTTTGGAGTCTGATTGAATTAGTCCATTGGTACACAGGGAAAAGACAGACAACGTCACTGAGCAATACGTTAATACAAATCACTTTTGTCAGAGCGGTCACGTCATAGAAATGCGTTTGTGTACTTGCCAGGGAAAGGGTGTCGGGAGACAATCTCCTCTGGCAGGCCCAGCTCTCTCCCCAGCGCTCTGACTTCATCTTTATGGAAATCTTTCAGCGGTTCGATTACTTTACCCTGGAGGATCACAAAGGAGTGAGATCAGCATTGCAACAGTAACGATGTGCTTAGGTGTTGCATAGTTGTGCATTTATAGAAAATGGCTGAACAAAACACCAGAAACACCAAATAATATATGAGCACTAAACAGCTAATAACGAGGTGAGAGCTCTTTAACAGTGGAGTGTAATACAGTGTTGGGGGATGAAGATAACACAGAAATGCATTTCCACTAAAAAGGAAAATACTATTTAGATGTTTGTCGTCCTCAAACAGAAACAGGACGTCATCAGAAGATGTTCTTCAGTGAGCTGGGTGCTGCGTGACAGCTCTGCCTTTGTGACTTTCATTATCTCTGCTCTCAAACGCAGCAGCAGAGGCTCTTTTCACACTGACTAATGGTTTGCAGCAGAAGTCAATGTTACCGTGATATCATGCAGTTCTTCAAAGCATTATGAGATATACAATTGCACAGTTTGATAATCTTTCTGTACAACTGCATTATCAAACTGTTTGCCTGCTACAAAAACTATTTGTATCAGAGGCAACTCATATCCCCGCTCTAAATGTCAGCTTTTACCATGTACAGTACTTCAGTGTCCTCTAAACTAATCGCCATTCTTCAAATGCATACTGTGGTTTTATTGCTAAGAGCTGGTGTCCTGTTGGCCATGGGTATTGTGAAATATGTTTTCCACTGCACCAAAATGAATAAGTTTACCAAATTATAACATTTTGCCATTTTTGTGACCGATGCACTTGTCAGATGTCTTGCTGTTATTTGGCATTCAACTTAAAATGATTTGTTATTAGTTTGTATAGCGTCGTGTTCCTCAATTGTTAGACCTGAAATATAAAATGTGGAAGGTCAGGGGTCTTCTTGTCTCATGGTATAAATGTGTGCATTCACAACTCGTGAAGGCACAGTTGCTCTATATTCTCACTTGACTGAATGATAGCCATTCTCTGAAGCAGCAGTATGCATCAGGGAGATGAATGAAGTTAGTATTTGTGTGGGTATGTGATGTGTGCAGTACCTCATCTCGGAGTTTGCGGATGAGCTCAGTGTCGTTGTGGTGTGTTTTGATGACCTCTGCCTTGCCGCTGGCGAGATGAGAGGCACTCTCAATGAGATCGGGCCGTAAGGTACCCTGGGCCAGGAAAACCTCTTCTGGCTTCAGATTCATCTCTCCTATCACTTCATTTGCCACCTGTAAAGCAAAGCAATTCACAGAGTCAGATACAACAGTGAGCCGGTGAATTGAAGACAAACAATAGAGTAACCATATCGGCAGATGTGTACAAATGTGTAATAAAGAATTCAGCTGAACTAACAATGTGATAAATGACAATGTATTGCATGGGAACAACGCTGTAGGGCCGACTAGCTGGCAGATCCAAATAAAAATGTTATTTTAAAAACTTTATTATGTAGCACTTTTCATACACAGAAACAGTTAAATCCTCATACTCACTTTGACAAATGTATCTCCAATGATTTTCCTTTTTTCTTCCGGGTTGGTAGTCATATTCAAAGTCTTGCTGATGCGTTTTCGTGGTGTCCTGTCCTCCTCGGAAATGGGGAGGGTTGTCGTTCCGTTGTAGAAGGTGTGAGCTGCATTTACCACTAGATACAGTAACATTTTCGAGGAGAGAGAGAAAGAAAGGCAGAACAACCAATTGGCTTACGAGCAACAGAAAAATGTCACAAAGACACTTCAGTATCCTGTTACATCCAGACTTCAACAATTCTTTTCATTAGTAATTACTAAAATGTAAAAATCTCAATACCTGTCACGAAGCAATTTAAAGCGCAATCACAAGTAGTATTTTCAAACAATGCTCTCTTATTTCACTTCATTAGAGACTTCTGTTAGATTACAATCTCTTCAACAACTGTGCATCACAAGAACTCTTTTAGATTATCGCCATGATACGATTCTAAATTAATTATGGTAATTATGCTTTAGACCTTTACGGCCTCATTGTGCCATCCCTGTGACATTTAGACCACTTGTCCCTACCTTTGAGTTTGATGCCCAGCTTGGTGAGGGCCTCCTCCACACTCTGACTCTCTCTCTTCCTCATGAAGCCGTTGTCGATGTGCACTGCTATCACCTGGTCCTGGTTGAGGGCTTTGTTGAGGAGAGCTGTGCAAACTGTGGAGTCCACCCCGCCACTCAGCAGCACCTGAGGAAAATCAGTGAAAAACAGTCACAACTGAGCCACCGGAGAGTTGAGTTGTGACATCTCCGCCTCTGTCTCGCTCTGTAATCAATGTCAATATGTCTCATTTCTATTCGTGTTAGCCTCCTATTATATTGGTCATGTTGTCTTTGGTACATCTATTGTTATGTGTGCTGGCAGGCATATATTAGGCATTATGAAGTGAACAGCCGAGATGACTACAGCCTTGACACTTCTTCACCTATAATTGGCCGTCTACCAACTCTCACACAAGCACACACACAATGCCACACTTGCCAAATGCTACGGCAGGAACAAGATATGACAAAGTATAGTGAAAGATGCGTCCCTCAGACTGTAGTTGAGGAACAAGAAACAGAGTCTGCATGTATTTCTTTAAATATAATTCGTATGCTTTGAGCCTGTTCCCTATTCATTTGTCGCCTTCACACTCCCCTGAGATGAAGCCCAGTTTGAAGCCGCTCGGGGAGTCGACTACCTCTTTTCAGATAAAACAGGGTTTAATTTGAGAGTTTAATTGGTTCTACTTAACTCCCCACCACTGCTGCCGTCACCACTTCCTGTACAGCTACCGCACTTCACACTCAGCACCCCAGCTTTAGACGTTTTGTGAAATTATCTCCCATTGTGGGTTTAAAATGCGCAGATCATTTTTTTCTGTTTACTTCCTTTTGTTAAAATCATCTCTCTGCCCTTAAAATGGACTTTGGTTGCCAACACACACACACACACACACACACACACACACAATCATGAAACGCTGTACAGGTTTCTCTCACCAGCACTTTAGACTTGTCTACTTTTTCTCTAATCTCGTCGATGCAGGCCTGTTGGCGGTTCTGTACGGTAAAGTTACTCGTGCATCCGGCAATCTCAAACAGGAAGGTGCGCAGCATCTCCATGCCTCGCTCCGTCAAGTCGACTTCAGGGTGAAACTGCGTCCCATACAGCTTCTTCTGTTCGTTAGCAATCCCTGTTGGAGAAGACAGCCGTGACGAAAGACTTTCAACATTCCCTAAATGCTTAAAAAAATATATACTTTAATGCAAAACTAGTATAACATGACAGAGCTGAGGCTTCCTTACACACACAAAAAATCAGCAATAAATGTTCTTGTTTCTGTATCTGTTTGTTTAGTCTATGACCACAATATCGTTTTAGATTATGTCACTCAGGGTCACAGCAGATCCTGCGTGCTGCTCACCGGCAATGATGTTCCCTGATTGGGCCACCACTTTAAAGCCATCAGCCACTTTATCCACACTATCTCCATGGGTCAGCAGGACCAGTTCCTCCTTCTGCAAACCTCTGATAAGAAAAACGCACAACATACACCGACATCAGAGGAGGATAATGCGCGTTTAATAACATTGCACAAAATACTACACGTGTACAGGCCCTGCTTTTCTCTGTGGGCATGTGAGTTAAATGTGAGAGGACAGTAATAAAAGACTGCAGCCATCTATTTTAGACTCTGCAGTATTTGTGTAACAACCAGGGGAAATATGTGACAGCTGGAATGCTCCCGCAGTTTATGTAGTAAATGTGGCACTGGGACAAACCCAAGCAGCAGTTGTAACAATATTGAGCTTCAGCCACTGATTGAGAATGCCACCAAAATGTTCCACAAAGCATAAATGAGCTCTACAGTGTTTCGCTGTCTTTTAAAGAAATATTGGATGTTCAACTTAAAAGGTTTTGTATTCCAGCAGTCAATTGCAACATGTAGTGCCCTCCTGCTGCAGCTGACAAACACAGGCTGAAAGGGGAGACTGGCTAGTAAAAAAAATAAATCTGCTCCATTGTTCAACCTCAGTTCATCTGTAGAGGGACACTTGTCTTCCATGTATGAATTTCCTCTCTACACTTTGTATCAGGCCATGACGTTCTTGCACTCTGTTATGTTCTGTCCTCAACTCTCAGTATGTTTCTCCTCAGTCTGTCATCTTCTCTCGCCAAACATTTCTGGTTGTAAGGTTATAAAAGGCAAAGAATGTGGAAGGACATGCAGCTCAAATAAGCCAATTAGAAAAACACTGACACACATTTACAATGTAATGTAACAACACATAAAAGATTAGACCAATTCTCCTGTGATCCACCTGAGCAAGCACATTACCTGAAGAGAGAACAAGTGTTGTCCAGTCCAATACTGAACACTCCATCTTCCCTCACGCTCTTTTTGTGTACTGTGCCACCAAAAACCTTATTCATCATCTGCAACACAAAGCACACACAGAGCAGAGTTAACACTTAGACACAGAGATTACATTCTACTGCGACTCCAAAGACGCTACAGCCGCCTGCAACTCGGAGAAATGTCGTGCAGAAGAGAAGGATGCTGGTTTTAATTTCCAGGCTCGCTGGGAAAATTGAGCGAGTAATGCTCTCATCTCCCTGAGCTAGTGTCAAAGTGCCCTTGAAGACAGTGGTGAAGTCCCAGATAGCCCAGGAGAGCTGAACGGCAGCCTGGAGTCGAGTGATAGTAACGCGCAGCTACTCTGAGTCAATGTGTGTAAAACAAAGGCCTTGTGGAAGACGGATGTTCTACTTAATCACTATAAAGGCCTCCCATCACAGAATATGACTGTGTGTGTGTGCATGTGCATAGATACCTGCATCCCATAGCAAATCCCAAGCACAGGCTTTCCTATGGTGAATATGGCAGGGTCGAACCAGGGGGCATCTTCTGCATACACAGAAGCCGGACCTCCTGAAATGATAATTGCCCTAGGGATAGAAAAGAGACATAACAAAGACGTATTTTAAAACACTTTCATATTGACTTCATGGTAATTCTATGAGGCAGAAAACACTCTGGTTCAAATGCTTCTCGTGCTCACCTGTAGCCCTGCTCTCTGATAGCGAAGGCTGGGGTCTCTAGAGGGAGGATCTCAGAGCGTACACACAGCTCTCGCACCCGCCTGTCAATCACCTTTCCGTACTGGGCCCCAGCATCCAGGATCGCCACCGCTCCCTCACATGACCCATTCTGCTCTGCGCTGCTGATCTCCAGCTGTGAACGCACAGTCAGAAAACACACAATGTCTTGTTGAAAGTGTTTGTGTTGAGCTGAGTAGACAAAAAGTATACATCCACAGTCGCGTTTGCACGCCGGTGACTACACAGTGACGGGACCAACACACAAAAGACACAGTCTCCGTGCTGTCCTTTAGCGTGGACAACTTTGTAGTGCTTTAGACGAGAGGCGGTGTAAGGTAGCCCACTCTCCCTAGACTGAACTGTACTCCACCTCTGACCTCCCGTGGAAAATGTGACTCAATAAGGCCTAATAACATAATTATGGACATGTGAGCTCCCAGACAGACAGACAGACAGACAGACAGTCGCTCTTGTGAAACGTGCTGTAACCATTCAACCCATCAGTGGGATCACATGAAACCCACAAGGTAGTCAAAGGTTATTAGTGAAGACCCGTGTATCTCCTGTCTACAGCAGTGTGCTCTGTTTCTCTCCACCTCTGTACTCCTGGATGTTACTTTTACAAACTACCGTGCTGAGCAGAGTTTGGGAAACAGATTTCAGTGCAAGAACCAGAGAGAAGTGAGGCCACAGACAGCTCATTGATCTCCATAAAACAACACAACTGAGTAGATGAGGACAGCCAGAAGAGAAACACGATCCCACGTGGTTGGTGCAAACACTTCCGCGGTAGCTGTTTCTAAAAACAACTCGCATTAAGCATGCTAACAATCCCCCTCTGACTTCTTACATAAAACAGGTACACTGAACAATTGTCGCTCAAACAACCACAGCGGCTCTGGCAGAATAACACCACAACAGAAATGAGCTCCAGTCGTTCAGCAAACTTTACCAAATCATCTGGTAGCGCAGCAGCGGTGTCTCCGGCTGTCACACCGGTATCTGCGCGTCGGCTCATACTAGCTTAGCTTAGTGACGACGTTAGCAACCCTGGCTGTCAGTTACCCTTCCGTTAGCTTAACGCGTGTGACAGCGGGCGGACGACACTCATTAGTTTGCCACAGTGTCACTTTCCCGCGCTGAACAGCAGAGCAACCCCCGGTGCTCGACTTTATGTTGGTAGGACTGTCGGTACAATTTCAGTCTGCCCGGCTGCGGCTAGCTACAGCCGTTAGTGCCAACGGTTAGCTGCCGTTAGTGCCAACCGTTAGCTACCGTTAGGCCGGTTTGGCTGTGGGGGTTAGGCGTTGCTATGCTAAACCCACGCGGTGCTCGGGAGGCAAAAAGGGGTCTTTTAGGAGGAGAAGAGAGAGAGAGAGAAGGCAACGAGGGTTATGGGCGAAATATGATAAATATTTTACTCATGCTAAACACCATTGAGATTCCCTGCCCGGCTAGTTAGCAGCTAGAGCAACATGTTAATGTGAATACTGCAACAGGCGTACGACCGCGTACTCATCGCTCCTCAGCGCTCTGCTGGCAACGTTACATGCTCTCTAACTTTCCCCCCCTCCTCCTCTAAGAGGGGCACACAGGCCGTAATTCACCCGAGAGGGGGGGAGGACTACACCAGCAAAACCAGGGTCCTAACACCAAGTCAACCGGGCTGCCCAGTACCGGAGTAGCGGGCACAGCCTGCTCCACTGACCTTGCTGTCTCCGTTGCACAGAGCCATGGAGGACTGCCGTGTTGTGGAATGAGCTGCTCTCCCCTTCGCCTCGCTGTCCCAGGTCTCAGAGAGGGAGGGAGAGAGAGAGAGGAAGAGAGGATGAGAGAGAGGAGAGGAGGAAGAGAGAGGGAGTGTGGTGTGTGTGTGGAGAGAAAAGAGAGAGATGATGGAGAGAGAGATGAGAGAGAGAGAGAGAGGGAGCTACTGGTTCGCTCCGGGCTCAGCACGCCGACTACTGTCTCAACAGCAGATTGGACTGTGGGCTTGAAGATGGGCTGTCACAGTCTGTCCTCCTCCGGCTGGGGAATAACTTTCACAGTGGGGACAGACTAAATAAATGTGTCTGTGTTTAATGGGTGGAGCACAAAGTTAAATAAAAAAAAAATAAAAAAAACTGAAGAGTGGCCCCATGGGGGGCTGGGCTTAGGCAGCATGGTAGATTTAACATGTTAAAATATAGCTCTCAAGGTCTTCAATAGTTAGAGGTGTTCAAAGCAAAATGAGAATTAGACACATTTTTATATACTATATATACATTTAGACACAGAGTCATATGTATGAATGTTTTGTATCACATTAAAATTAATTAACAACATTTTCTGGAAGCTCAATTGAGAAAATTCCTGTAGATTAAGGAACCCACATGGGAATGTATGTTGTTGACGTATCCACTGACAAATGAAGAGCCTAATCAGCACTTAATCCTTTAAATTCAATTTTAGCATAAAACAGCCCTCATTTATTGCCAATAATGATCTAATAAAAGCAGGTTGTATTATTAAAAGTATAGCTCATACACTATATCTTGCCATATCACCCGACCCTAGTGACTGCACTGTGTTAAAAATGTCCACTGATGAAGAAAACCCTGTTGATATACAATCTGCAAGCACAATGACTCTGCAGAGCCTCATACCTCAGACCCTGTCAGGCAAAGGCAGCAAGTATGTGAGAGAGAGCCCCTGTATTTTAACACATCTACTCTACTGGATCTTCCAGGACTAGTACTTCTTTCCATTTCTTTTTCAGACAACATAGATTACAACCTTCAGACTCGTTGTTCGTGTACGCTTTTGTTTTTTGCCTTTCATACGCAGTTTCTTTATCTGGCTGATAATAACAGGCGAATGTAGTTGCTGTATCCATATTTGACACTACAGAAAGATGATGACTTGCTCTCAGAAACCTTCAACCAGGAATTCCCTGAAAGTTAAAGAGGAATGTCACGGCAAAGACACAAGTTAGTCAAATAGACAGATGTCAAATTCCACTTTGTGCTGAGCAAATGTAGTCGTTATTTTTAAGTAGATATTTTTTACACATACAAAAAAAGAGTCTTAAAGAAATTAATTTTCAGAAAGTGTATGGCAATTGTTTTAAACCAGAGGAAGATGTGTTGTGGACACTAAGCTGAATGGGCTGAAACCTTGTCAAAGAATGCAGAGTAGTCACACACAAGTCTAACTAATTACATTACTAATTCATGCAAGGGGTATCAATAATTGCTGGAACAGATCATTAATGTCATTAGTTCTGCCTGTGTGTTTCCTGTTATGTCTGCTGTGAAGAAGGTCTGTGAGAGTCTCACTCATTTGGGAGCAATAAAGAAACATCACCGCTCTGATGCTAGCAAGGCTGTCAAGACTTGAACAATCTTTTCAGGGGTCTAGACCAGAACCACTGGGGTCAGACAGCCAGATGTGAAAAGCGCCACCCTGTGGAGAATGTAATGAATGACACTTTACCACACAGACAGTTATTACCACAGTCAGGAAGAATCTGTCTGTTAAAACCAGTCAAACTATAACCATCGTCCTAAACCAGTGCACCAAGAACATTAACGTAACCATGGCAACAGGTAACTGTTACTGGTGAAACAGACGCAGCCATGAGCATGGTTGGATTCATTCAGGGACTACAGGGCAAAGAGGATCTGTGGGCCCCTGTTCACCCTTTGGTCATTTATTTAATACATTTATTTAGTATAATAAGAGTGGATATTGTGTTTTTTTTGGTAATATTCACAGACAAATTTGCAGTCAATCAGATTACCACAAACCAGCTGGGATATAATACGTTTGCAGCCTTTGGGGACCTTAGTAAGTAAGTAAGTAAGTAA